GTTGATTGAGTAGGTTGTATTAGTATGTTCAGGCATGGAAATAGAGACCATGAATATGTGAGAGATCAAGGGGGTGACCTGTGTGGGAAGGCTGGAGGGAGGAAGGAGATGGAAAGGACATAATTGTATTTTAATTAAAAATGCTATTGAGCCACAGAGATACATGATGAACATTAAAATTTGATATTACTAAAAGTGGAAAAGAGCCTAAAAGGGCAGAATGCTATGCCTGTTTGGTTTCTGGGAAAGGCAGAATCCCCACAGCAAACTGACGAGTGTCAGCTCAGAGGGGAAGAAGAGCTGGACTCGGAACAGGTCCTTAGGGAGTGATGGTTACCCTCAGTGTTTGCTAAAGTCCAGGGAACTGCTGTTCACCGAGAGTAAACCTGACAAACCCTAAAAACCATTTAGGATGCTAAGGGAGCCTTGGATAGATGTGACAAATGAATTTAACTATTATAAATGTATAGATATACATTCAACTTTTAAATTCGAAGTAATTAAATGATATTAAATCATTCTTAATTTCTAATTTATTTGCACTGTATTAGAAAGTGTATATTGCATGTTTACTGTGTGTGTGTGTGTGAGTGTGTGAGTATGTGAGTGTGTGTGTGTTCCGGTATATGAATGCGAAGGTCAGATGGCCCCCTCGGTGCTCCCAGCCTTCTTCTTTTTTCTTTTTTTGAATCAGCATCTTTCTGTGTCTGGCGCTCTTATTTTTTTTCTCCAGCTAGACTGGAAACCAGAAAATTCCAGCAATCCTCCTATCTCCACCCATCTTGTAGCTGGCATGCAGGCATGCCTGGCCTGTTACGTGGGTGCTAGGCTCAGAACTTCAGTCCTTGGGCTGCGCACCAAGTGCTCTAGACCATGGGAGCTTCCCAGTATGCCCTTCCCTCCCCCATTTTTTTTTTTTTTTGAGGCAGAATCTTGTTCTATAGCCAAGGTTAGCCTTAAACTCAGGATCCTCCCACTACCAAGTTTTGGGATGGCAGGCATGTACCCCCACGGGTGGCTAGAGAGAGCTAAGTGGTGTTAGTCTGTATCATTGCTGAATCTACTTTATCCTTAGAGGAGTTGCATTGGGGCTTGCAGTGCTAGCTCAGTGTAGTTGTCCCGACCCGTGGGGCAGCAACCTAGAGCAAGAAGTCCAGGGAGGGAAGTGGGGACAAGAGACACGAGAGAATGACCACAAGACAGGATTCTGATCAAGTGGCAAATTTTATTTTATTTTTTTTCCAGGAAGCTTATAGAGTCAATAGAGTGGGGTAAAGGGGAGGGGGAGAAGAGGCCAAGAGCCTCTTAGTTTAAACAGGATGTCGAAAACTATAGAAGGAGGATGTTGGCAGGGTAAAAAGTTGATGGGTGGTGGGGAGAGGGAGGGTTGCCTAGGTGAGTGGTGGGGAGAGGGAGG